GACGCACAAACCCACATTTCCTTAAGTATAGTCCATAAGTTTTGATTTATACTGTGTTAAATGAGTATTCCTTTTAGATCAAAATCCTACCGATTCATCGATAAAAACTAAATATATTGGCGTTAAAGGTAAGCCCCATTATACTTTCATATTATGCCGGCTACAATCTTAACAACATTAGATATACAGGTGACACAGTATTGATAGCAGACATAGAAAATAAATTGTAGGAACTCCGACAGAAAATAGTGAAGGAAAGCAAGAAGAAAGGACTAAACCTCAACTGCAAGAAGTCAGAATGCGTGGTTGTTAGCAAAAGTAAGAGTTCAAATTACAACTTGGGAGATACTAAAATAAAAAAGTACAGCAATTTAAATATCTGGAAAATGTTTTAATAGAGGAGGGAATGTGCGACACTGAAATCAGAAGGCGTATCCCAGTAGGAAAAGGTGCCCTCCAAAATCTAAATAAAGTATTAAGAAACAGAAAAACATCGCTCGAAACAAAGAAAAGAGTACTGAACTGTTACGTAATATCAGTCATGTTATATCGTAGTGAATGCTGGACTTGAAGCAACAGAAATGGGGTTCTAGAGAAAGATGCTGAGAATATAATGGATCGAACGCGTGAGCAACGACGAAGTTTTAGAGAAAAAGGAAACAAAACCGACATTTATTCTTACTATCAGGAAAAGAGAGTTGAAATTTCTAGGGCACTTAATAAGGAAAGACATCTTGGAAACTTTGATATTCGCGCGGCAGTGTAATGGCAAAGGGAAAATAACGTAGAACCTTCCTAGAGAACTCGAGTAAATCGATGGCAGAACAGGGATTAGGAGAGATAACAAAAAGAGAAAAATTATTAAGAGCTACAAAGGACAAGAAATTGCGGACAGTCATGAATGGACAAGACACAACGAAGAAGAATAGAAAAAGGACTAGTAAGTGTTTTATAAGGAAATATTACATAGAAGAAAAGACAAATAGGAACAAAAACTTTTGCAGTGGCTTCATATTTTCACATAATTCTAAATAAACTTGTCAACAATTCCTTTTGATTAATTATTTTGCAATCACTTTATTATGTGTCCATATTCATTCATGACAGACTGCTAAGATTCAAATATCACAGCGCTGCTGTGTTTCAGTACGCACATTACACAGTGCTTGGAATTTAGATTAACCCGATTCATTATTGAAATTTGGACACTGAAACATTGTGAATATTGACCTCATAGAAATTGGTAACCTCTCTCTTTTATGAATGCATTTTTCAGTAAAGAGACGATAGGGATATTTCAAACTATTGTATGTATATACGTATATATTTAAATAATTCATCGAGTCCAAAAGAAACCTCAACAGGATGCAGAAAGCACTGGACGGTCGTTTCATCCTATATTTGAGACTCATCAGCAGTGCGCATCCACTACTGAGAATTGAAACCCGGACAGTTACGATATGAGGCAAACATCATACCAACTGTAGCAACGGGCCTCGGAAACGAATTAGACTCGATATAGCGCTGCTCGATCACAAATTCCGTGGTGGAATTCATCCGAGTTTCCCTTATCCATAGGACTGTGTCCCCACGAGCCACGACTACTATCCAGAAGCATCTCCAACTGGAGCATTAGAAGCCGGTTCAAGCAAGGATATATAAATAATTATCGAGTCTAATTCGTTACCTCTTCGACACCGAGGCCCGTTGGTATGACGTTTGCCTGATATCGTGACTGTCCAGGTTCAATTCTCGGTACTGGATGCTCATTGCTGATGAGTCCCAAATATAGGACGAAACGGCCGTCCAGTGCTTTCTACATTCTTTTGAAGTTTCTTCTAGACTCGATGAATTACTTAATTATGATTATCTCAAGTCCTCCTAATAAAATATATATATATATATATATATATATATATATATATATATATATATATATATATATATATATATATATATATATATATATATATATATATATATACGTGTTGTGAACACTCATTGATTTCAACCAATCACGGTTCAACAATAATTTCTATCCTTTTGTTCTATTTCTTCGTACTTTTGATGATTTTAAATCCAGATTGAGGCCGACAACATTTCATATATAAGATGAGGAACAATTGCAGTAATATGAGAGTGGTCTTCAGTGTTTTGCTTTGAAATACGTAGATATTACATGAAAATGACAGATGATCGAAAGTAGTACGAGAAAAAAAAAGGAGATTTGTACAGCGTATTAAGATCTTTTTATTTGTATGTACAACAGTTGAAAATTTGAAAAATGCGATAAAAAATTTAGAAAGACAAACCTTGTCGAATGTATTTAACACACAACATTCAAATTTAATGGAATTCAAAGTAATATCTTTTGGAGCCAAAATTGCTCTCGCACTTAGCCACATCTGATTCTGATAATATTTATTGATATTTAGGAAGACTTTAGTCATTATTTCTTTGGTAGATTGCAACAGGTTTAGTGACAGGTTTAAGCAGCCCCCGTTGTTCACAGGAGTTCCTCCTTCTCCAGGGAATAATAATCTTTTGGGAAATTCTTCAGATATTCGATCATTAGAGAGAAGAGCTCTCATATTTGTTTTCAATATTATGGTTTGTAATATGTTAAGCATGCTTGAATCACATCAGTTTTTGTTACTTTTGTTATAACTGGAAGGATTTGTCTGAAATCTCTTGAAAAATACGGTGGCTCCTCCCATCAGAGACTGACAGTGTCCTATATGTCTTAACATTCGATCAATAGCCTCCCGAGCTCTCTTATGCATCACAGTGCATTCATCAAACACAATTAAGTGACATTGTCTTATAACTCCTGCCATCTCAGAAGTGTTGATAATGTTGCAGACTGGGTTTTCATTCATATAAAGATCTAGTAGAAATTTTAATGCAACGTGAACAGTTCTACCCTCTGGTAGCAATGTGGAAGCAGTTCTAGATGCTGCTGCAAGGCCAATTCTGAATTCTCGTTTCTGTCACATGACTGTTGCAGTGATAGTGTCACTGTTTGGTAATCATTGAGCATTCTAATATGATTTTGAACATATTCATCTATCTTGAATTATATGAGTTTCATCTCAGATATTCTGTTGCAAATCGGTTACAAGTACCTCTGATAGTCTGTGGAAGCCCATAATTTAGTAACTCATCACCTCCCTTGGCCACGGTTTTCATTTTAATTATCAATCAATGAAGAATTATAAATTTCTTGACAGTAATTAACACCAGTATAATATCTCAGCTGTGCCTGATGGATAAAAATCCCCAGAGACATCATACCTAAATTTATTTCACAGGCCTTGAGGGTTGCTGATTCCACAGGTCTTAATAAGGATAGCAAAAAAGATCTTATGCTTTTTTGAAGTATAGTACATTGAAGCCGCTGAGAGTGCTGCATCCCACTATCATCCTCAAGCAGTCCATTTTTATCGCAAGCTTCTCTGTTAATCGTGTAAACAATTCCATCAACTCTCCGAAGTTTCACAAAAGACACTGGACCTTGAACTTCATGCAACAACATTCTTAAGAAAAGCATTCCTGTGTGTTTTGGATGCAGTGCATAAAGACGACCAAGTGTACTATGAAATCTGAATTAACTTGAACTGTAGATCCTCTTTTTCTTCTGGCCCAATTCTTAGTTGATTTATTCTACGTGTAATATGGTGGGACCTGGTTGTAATATAATCTTCTGGCAAATGGAAAGCTGTCAGAGTTGTTAATCTTGGATTCATTGTATGTACTGCAGCTAATTTAGGTGTAAAATTACCTTCGTTCATTTTCTAGATGTACTGCTAATTGTTGGACCGCTGGATACATTTCATGAATGGGGAAACTGAATATCTCCCAGAAAACTTCATTGCTATTGAGGCATCGGCCTTTTTGGTAATTACTTATTTCATCTGGATTATTTTGGGGCTGGAGAGAAAACATAGCAGCATCTGATTCTTCGTTTATATATTTACATCGATACTTGATGACTTTCACAGAATTGTAAAATTCAACGTTGATGTGAGCATTAAATATTTCCAGAAGGAATGGACTCTAAGGGGCAATCCACTTATTATCAACTTCATACTGGCTGCCAACAATAGCCTGATATCCACCATCTTTAGTTTTTTTTCTTCTGTTTTATGGGTGTCCATGTTCAATCTGTGTCTCTTGCAATCTGGTGTATTTTTGGTACACGTGCTGATTTACATACAGGGGCAGTTTGAAGTTCTTTCCACTTTGGATTACAGATGAAGGTTATGAATAAATCTGGGTGGCCATATTGTCTAACATAATAGATTGCATCTTGTGTTCTTTTATACAAGTATTGTGGGTTTCAGATAAAACTGGATGACAAGATAGAAAGTTGGCCTAATTCTGTTCCATTAGCATCATTATTGATTGCATCTTTCAATGCCATGTGCCTTTATCCTAAAGGACACAAGGCACAGTGGATAAAGGCGTTAGTTAGATCCAGTGACAAGACCCAAAGAGTGTGAGTTCAATACCCGGTTAAGGCAGTGGAGAACTTTCAGAGGGAAAATTAACAGGAGATAACTGATAACTGACATCCATAAAACATGGTACGTGGAACTAGAACAGTCTACCCCAGTGAGCGAAATAAAGGGTTCAGTTCGACATTCCAACCACCTGAAGAAGGCCGGAGCGTACAACGGCCGAAACGTTGTGATAAATATGGCGACAAAGATGACGACAATAGTCCGAATAATGTAAATAATGTTTCTATGGCCTCCATTCACAAAAAGGCTCATCAATAAATCTGTTTAAATAGTATCTATCTAGGAAGTAAGAATTCAGAAGGCAGTAAGTTATATTAAATTCAACCGACAAGGTTTTTCGGTTTAATAATTTTTATTACATTTTTCTGATTGAAAACTGATAAAAGATAGTCATCAACACAAATAAGATGAAACGCGACAAGTGACGTTATTACATAAACTATCATATAATTGAAATCACATTACTCATATTTTACTGGCGACACCATGTTGAAATACCGGTTCTCATACGATCCCCGAACTTAAGCAACCCCGAGCCTGTCAAGACCTAGATGGGTTACCGCTTGGCAATACCAGGTGTTGTGGGCTTGGATGTGCGGGCGGTGTAACAGATAATTACTCGAAATTGGAAATCGGAGAGCCGAGTTCCATTTCAGTCGTCTTCGTTATATTCACGGACGCGCACATACGCTAAAGAAATGCATGAATCTACCCCTTCTCCCTCCCAGCTATGGGTTAATTAGTAGGATTTGTATCAGTAAAACATTATTATTGCAGAAAAATTCTTATAAATCTTAAAATATTTTCTAGCTTTAAATAAGCTGCAAAAGGTTGGTAAACCGTTAAAAACGAATCAATCTCATTTTCATGTGGCATACGCAATACACTTATAAGTGACCGTATTTATTTTTTAAATATAATGTATTACAAATGATGAATTTAGTGTTTGCAAAAATAGAATAGAACATGTGAAATTACTCTTTTATACAAAATGTAAATACTGTCCATTGAGAAATTTTTCAACTCATAAAAAAACGTGCCGGTTGTAATAAACGTAACGCCAGAAATTTTTATATCAGTTTAATGAATGTGGAACAAAATAATTTTAAACCTGATAAGCGTCCCTTGAAATATAAACATTGCACCGGGAGTAAAATTGAAGTATATAATTTAATCATGCCGGCATTTGTATTTGCTACAGAAGAGTATACTAGACATTTAAACTGAAACCGCAAGATACAATTCACATGTTAATGACAATAGCAATATTAGTCGTTTCCTTATAAGGAAATATTTCATTGACCGAGCAGCCAGTTAGAATTTATAAAATATTTCTTTTAAAATAGTTTTTCAGGATAATAAGTTTTTCAAGTCCAGTAACTGTTATCGTTCTTTCCAGTATTGATGGAGGTTTTCCTTCCTAACCTTTTGTTTGAAATAGCGTGGAATGTCAACATAAAAAAGGAATCGACCGTAGTCAGGATCATCGAATCAATGCGAACGATCTTTTCCTTACCCCCATAGCATGTGTTGCCAGGGCTACATACATTTTTGAATTCTTGTAGACCGGTTGCTACCCAAGGCTATAGGACCCTGTCTGTCTTACTATTTATCCATAGATTGGGGGGAAGAGTTGGATTCATACCTTTCCCAAGTGAATTACAACGTAAATGAATATAACGAAGTCGGCAGGAATTCGAACTCGGCTCTCCGATTTATCAGTTCGAGACGCAATCCATACCTCTATCGTCCCTCCAAATCTATGTCAACATAACAACCCTCAATTCTATTCAATCTGATGTTTTTATCAGGATTTAATCATTATTTGTTCAGCGGGTTTTCTATTTGTACAGTTATCATATTTCAAACCTTTTCTTGTCTCTAACTAGGCAGTGTAATTAAAACAGTCGGCCTCCATTTCGCGCTTGTATCAAGTTCTCGACAATACTACATTTGTATTGATTTCTAGTAATATAAATGCATAGGTCCGGGAAAAGTGTTATTATTTCTTCATTGTTTCTACGATGATGATGATGATGATGATGATGGGAATGAGGATGAATGCAAAGAAGATAGATATAAATGTACAAAACGCAGGCACTCGTAATTGGCTGGCAATGAAAGCCAATGACTATTGCGTGGTAATACTTTAGCATGCATATATTAACAGCAACAACAATCTGGGATTCTGTTCGATCCAGATTGACTACCCAATCTAAGTAAGTAGACTGGGTTTGATAGTCGAAAATAAGGAAAAGAAATGCCAAAATCGTAGCTATGCCAATAGGACGACAGGATGGTGTGATAAGAAAGGAAGAAAATAAATTTATTTAAAAACACCACAAGATGAAGATGAGAAAGTGAAAGTATGGTCATGCCGATAATATTCGACACACTTGGAACAATGTCAAAAATACTAGAGGGAGAAATAGATAAAAAAAGTAATTTGAAGAAGTTTTGAGTTTACCCATCTATAATGATGGTCATATCTACAGTGATGTTCACATCTATAATGGTCATATCTATAGTGATGGTCATATCTATAATGATGGTCATATCTATAATGATGGTCATTTCTATAATGATGGTCATATCTATAATTATTAGAGCAGCAGAAGTTATAGAAGACGATTAAAAAAAGAAAACAGAATAAGCATTTAAAACACTAGAAAATCTGTTTGTCATATTACAGAAAACAATATAAATTAAAATTGCGACAGACTGATGGTAAGCCGGTTTAGATTACGCGGGTTAAGTTTACGCTGTAAAGAAATCCTACCTATACTGAAACTTTTCTTTTTAATCATTTAACTAATAAGCCACTATGAAGCAAGGAGCTACTTCGTGTGAGAAAATATGAGAAAAACATTAAGTAGAGGGAACAATAAAATAACAGGAATTATGAAGACAGAAGATAACAACTGACGTTGCATTTAAATTTTTGAAAATCACAGTTGACCGGAAGGCAAGATACCGGAAAAGAGTTCATCAAGCTAGGAGTTGTTCTTTTTTTCAATCATCTAACTCCAGGCAAGACAATGAGCCACTAAGAAACAATGCGTTAATGAATGTAAAAGAATAAAAGGAAAAGTGAATCATTACCAAGGAGCGATAACAATACAAAAACAAGAATTTAAAAGGCAGTAGATAACAATTAATATTACATTAACATTTTTGAAGATCAAAGTTGGCTGGAGAGTAAGATATCGGAAAAGAGTTGCACATTGACAAGTGCAAGAAAAGTAACTGCTAGCATAGAACTTACGGTTTCATCTAAATATTTCAACTGCAGAAAGATGAGCCTTTGTTGCCAATCTAATATTGCGCTTAAATTCTTAAAGTCTAGGTACTATAGAGGAATGGTCCTCAGAACAATTAGTATGAAAGTAGTTATAGAAAAGACACGTGGAAATTACATAACGGCCATGTGAAAGGGACTGAAGTTGAAATGCCAGGTCAGAACCAATAACATTGCAGATTCTTCTTTGTATTTTATCAAGAATCTCTAAATATATAGGAGGAGCAACAGACCAAATGTGGTAAGACTATTCAAAGCATGGAGAAATGGTAGAATGATAAATATGTAAGATAGATTCTGGAGATTAAAATTGTCTAGCACGACACAGTGAACCAACGTTCCTAGTTGCAGACCTAACATTCATTGAATAAATTTACACGTCGTAACCTGTCAGCTTACTTGTCTCTAGCGTTTTCTTTTTCTGAGGTGGCTGACAAAGTTTACTTTTAAACTGTCTTGTACATTTTAGTGATAATTTTTTTAAGGTTTAACATTATTTATGGTTTAAAATTGTTGAAAGATCATCTTTGATAGGGAAACGATCGAAAATCTGTACTTTTAAGAGGAATTATGCAGCCTGATTCTTTTGACTTGTAATTTCAACTCGTCTCCGCTTCTTTAAGATATATTTTGCTTTTGTACTTCTAAGAAAGAATTACAGAAAATTGGTCGAAAATGAATAGAAAGTAATTATAAAAGAGTAAAATAAAGAGAGGGATATATTGAACCCTGGGAAGCCGACTTGACGACAAGGTTATAAAGATATAGCATCTGTGAAAATGAGAAGCTGTTACAGAAAATAAGAAAAATAATAATATACTCTTAAGATTAAGAGATCAAGACCGACCTAACAAAACAGAAATCTAGGTTTGATATTCAAAAATAGAAAAAAAAGAGCCCCTGCTACATTGTGTACGTATTGAGCCAACTGGTCGCAGGGAGAAAAATTGACATACGTAAGAAATACACCGACCTCCGCATTGAACATGGGACCTACTTAAAGCCCTAGATTTCGTACATATGATCCATAGCTAAAGAGGCTGAAAAAAAATTTATCGGTGTACCAGTCTAGTAAGTACCTGACTCATGAAATCCTCTGCCTTTATAAGAGCCAGATCAGGCCGAAAATGGAGCACTGTTGGCATATATAGGTAGGAGCTGGCCAGTTTTTAATTTCCAGTCTCGATAGATAGTCTCGCGTTCTTGTGGTGATGAAATATTTTCTACCCTGCAATCCTTTTCTCGCAGAAAAAAACATCGCAAGTCCGGTGCCGTTCTATCGCTATTTCCGTGGAAACTGTTCAGACAAACTACATTCCTTAGTTCCACCAGTTCCAGCCTTCACGGCTAAAACCCGCCATGTAACACACATTGTAACAGACCGCTCTCATTCTCTTTGTATTCCATTGGTGAGATGAACGTTCCACACGAACAGCTTCTTCCTTGTGCTAAACAACAAGTAAAAGAACAACAAAAAGCAAAAGAAGGCAACGACGACGATGAAGATGATGATGAATATCAAGTATGAAGCTCTATTTTTCAAAAATCATTTCACCCTAAGAGTTACTAAGAGTGAAGGAAACTGAAACAACGTTAGTGAGGAGAAAGGACAAAAAATGGAGATGGCTAACAGAGACAGAAGATGACGATTAACATTGCATTTAAATTATTGAAGAGCTCTTTTGACAGAAAAGCAAGAAGATGAAAGAGTATTCCACGCCGTTACTTTAGATAATGACAAAGGGATCAGTCCCTGCGCTGGTATTATCACAGCTATGACTAGCTTGGATCGGCTCCGACCAGCTTGGACCAGCTATGACCAGCTATGACTAGTTTAGACCAGCTCTGACCAGCTTGGATAAGGTATGATACAGTATGTGAAAACACTCGGGTCCCCACGTTAAAAAATGACCTTGTGTCACAACCTGAATCAGTGGGGTGGGTCAAGTAAATCTCTACTTTAGATAATGATAATGATAAAAACTTTTTGTCATGCAGTAGGCGCTAGTAAACTACAGTGATTACTGCTGTAGTGAGATTAATTGTCACTGAGTTCCACATATTTATGACTGAGTATAACACTAAGGTAGGCGTGTTAAATAATAATAATAATAATAATAATAATAATAAGTAAAAGGTTTAACATCAATATCACGAATGTTACTACTGCTAGTACTACTACATAAAATTATTAACGAGTAAAAATAGCAAGACTCATGGGCTGCCTTTGGCGCGTGATGTTCTTATCAAATTGATAATTGATACAAGACAGACGAAAATGTCCAAT